TAGAGCAAGTAAGGTCCAACTAAACATTATGCTTAACAACATCCTTATTACTAGGGAATCCCCTTCCATAAAGACTTCAGGTACTAAGTCCTTTTCTGGGGTTACTTCCCTTCTTTGTTTTTCAATGCCACAAGGACCAGCTTGAGAGTCACTGGACCCGTTGCTCAAAAAAGTGTTCCAGAGAGGTCTGTTTCTGGCGTATGTTAGGAACTGTGTTGGGAGACAGGACAATATAATCCTCCAACATGACACTAATATCAGGTCTACAGCTTATTTATCTAGCACAATTCACATAATATGACAAACAATATTAATAACACAGAAACATGTTACTCTAGAATGAATAAAATTTGTTATTATGTATGTGGCGAGTGATGGTGTGTTGTTGTTGGGTGTATAAGGGCCACTGAAAGATAAGCCTTACATAGTGTTGAAGGCATTTTCAGTAGCCCTATACAGTGGACCCCCGGTTAACGATATTTTTTCATTCCAGAAGTATGTTCAGGTGCCAGTACTGACCGAATTTGTTCCCATAAGGAATATTGTGAAGTAGATTAGTCCATTTCAGACCCCCAAACATACACGTACAAACGCACTTACATAAATACACTTACATAATTGGTCGCATTGGGAGATGATCGTTAAGCGGGAGTCCACTGTATACATGTACCTCCAACAACATTAGCGGAGTCAGTTTCGTGCTGTCCTTTTTCTATCAATTAATCGCTTAACTTACTTGCTACGCTGTTAATGCCACACTTTATTGCTGGCTGGTGCTATAGACTTTAATGACTCCTGCTGCTTTAGTATCGTACATATCGCAGAATCACTGAAGAAGGCACATTCTCTCCTCTCTCTCAATCCTTTACCTAAGGGCTGGCTGGCACTAGGAACTTCCCTGGGGCCCATGGTGGCTTATTTAGCAGTTCAAGCACTAAAAAGAATGGAATACAGTGGACTCTTGTTTTTTGTAATTAATCCGTTCCAGAAAGCGTGACTATTATCGAAATTGGAAATTTGCGAAACCATTTTCCCCATAAGAAATAATGTAAATACAATTAATCTGTTCGAAACACCCAGAAGTATTAAAACAAACAAATTTTTTTTACATGAAATATAGATGTACATACACAAAACAATAGGACATGATGAATGAAACATTAACAACATAACACCTACCTTTATTGGCGATTCTTCTTAGTGTATGGAAAACTGGAGGAGAGGAGAGACTGAATTATTTACTGTTAGGAAGGGGAATCCCCTTCCATAAAGACTTCAGGTACCAAGTGCTTTTCTGGGGTTACTTCTCTACTTTGTTTTTTAATGCCACTAGGACCAGCTTGAAAGTCACTGTACACCTGTGGCACTAAATACTTGTCAAGAGAGCTCTGTTTCTGGAAACTCTTTAAAACTTCCCTAAAATGGGCTAAGACTTTGTCACTGTACATGTTGCCGACATGGCTTGCAACAGCTTTGTCAGGGTGATGTTTCCCCATAAATCTTTCCATCCTACCCACATTTCAAAAATCTCCTTAATTTCTGAAGAAGGCAACTTCTTCCATCTCTCTTCCTCCTCCTCCTCCTCTGAAGCAATATTCTGAGCTGCAGTCTGTTGCTGTTCCAGCTGAAGCTCTTGCAGCTCATCAGTGGTTAGCTCTTCTTTGTGGTCCTCCACCAACTCTTCCACATCCTCCAAACTCACATCCAACCCCATGGAACTCCCCAATGCCACAATAGATTCCACAACTGCCATAGGCTCGTCAGGGTCAGCCCCAAACACTTCAAAATCCCTCTTGTGGACACAATCTGGCCACAATTTTCTCCAAACAGATTTCAAAGTCCTGGTAGTCACTCCCTCCCAAGCCTTACCTATAAGGCTTATGCAATGGAGGATACTGAAGTGATCTTTCCAAAACTCTCTTAGGGTCAAGTGAGTGTCTGAGGTCACATTAAAGCACCTTTGAAACATTGCTTTGGTGTAGAGTTTTTTAAAGTTTGAAATAATCTGCTGGTCCATGGGCTGGAGGAGAGGAGTGGTATTAGGAGGCAAGAACTTCATTGTGATGAACCCAAATTCCTCCAGAATTAGGTCATCCAAGTTTGGAGGATGAGCATGTGCACTGTCCATTAGCAGGAGGCACTTGAGATCCAATTTATTTTCCAGGAGGTAATCCTTCACACTGGAGCTAAACACTTCAATGAACCACTCGAGGAAAATTTCCCTCATGACCCATGCCTTATTATTAGCTTTCCAATACACACACAATTTACTGTTCATGACACTGTTTTTCTTGAACACTCTGGGATTTTCAGAATGGTACACTAGTAATGGCTTCACTTTGCAATCCCCACTAGCATTACTGCAAAACATGAGAGTCAGCCTGCTTTTCACAGGCTTGTGTCCTGGCAGTGCCTTTTCCTCCAGAGTAATGTAGGTCCTCTTTGGCATTTTCTTCCAAAAGAGGCCTGTTTCGTCACAATTGAACACTTGTTGGGGTTTTAATTGTTCAGTCTGTATGTACTCCTTGAATTCACTTACAAATTTTGTAGCTGCATTTTTGTCAGAACTGGCAGCCTCACCATGCCTGCATAAGACTATCTCCTGCTAACTGTTTCTCATTAATCCACATCAACAATAACTTCTCAACATCTTTGAGTACTGGCGATCTCATTTTTGTCAGCATATTTACCACCTTTGCAACAACAGCTTCCTTGATTTCCTTTTTCTTGGCCAGGATGGAAGCAATGGTTGTATGGGGTTTCTTATACATCCTGGACAGTTCTGCCATACGTACGCCACTTTCATATTGTTCAATGATGTTTTTATTGAATTCAATTGTATTTCTCACCTTCTTTACCAAAGGCATGGCACTAGAAGCTTTCTTTGGAGCCATGGTAGCTTATTTAGCAGCTGCAAGCAGTAAAATGAATGGAATATTATGAAATATTTTGTATGAACATGTGAGGGGATGGTCACCCACTGGTAAACAATGCCACACTGGCTGGGAATGGAGTGTGAGGCGGCTCGGGGCTGTGAGTACGCGTCCGAGGCGAATGACTATTTGCAAGTCAAACAACAATTCGCAAGTCAATGTTTTGATGAAAAAAAGTTACGATTTCCAAAAATTACGACTTTTGAGCCTTATGAAAAACTAGGGTCCACTGTAATGCGAAATGTATTGCATGAACACGTGGAATCGTGCTCACTGGCTGATAAACAATGGCACACCGAGTGTCAGGCCGCTGTTGCCGAGCCAATATTTTGACGAAAAAAACGTTACTATTTCCGAATACAGTAGGGCCCCACTTATACGGCAGGTTTAGTTCCAGGCTACCACTGTAAAGCTGAAATTGCTGTAAAGTGGAATACTTTTTTCACTTATAAATGCATATAAATACTAGATAACAAGTTTATACTAACATATATTAAGTTAGCAATAGAACTAGGCATTAAAAACAATAAAAAAGTAAAATACACATACGTACAGTACACTTATTACTTACCTTAAAACATTTGTAGTCTCAATCTAGGGTGAGATGAGTAGTATTTATTATAAGAAGTTAAGTGAGGTATGTATGGTAGCCTGCCAGGCTACCATACCAGGCCAACCCACCCACATATAACATTCTATGACATTTAAGTGTCCCAGAGCGATAAAATGAATACACAATTCACTCATTACTTACCTTAAAATATTTGTAGTCTTAATGTAGGGTCAGAGGTGAGTAAACGAGATAAAATGAATAAGAGAGAGAGAGAATGAGTACATGAGAGAGGACACTCGCGGAGTTATGTAAACAAACCAGGCGGACACGAGTTTTGTAAACAAACCAGGTGCACACGTCTGGTTTATGTACAAGTTACATTGTGTACAAGCTGTCTCTACATTGATACAGTAGAATAAATAAAGAGGAACACTCCCATTCTCATGTAACACTATTTTTAGAAGAAATGACACTCTGAGTGAACGCATACAAAAGGAATAATTTTCTACAGTTACGCCCGGCAACACATTTTCTCTTATGTTGGACTAGAGAAAACGTTATTCTTGCCATCACTTGTACATGTTGTCTGGCTACCACATCTCATATTTATGTTTATTTATTCTACTGTGGGATGTATTTATCATCTTTATATGTTATGTATCATGTTTATTATATAATTTTGAAAAAAAAAGTTATTGCAGGAAACAGTCATGATAGCTTCAAACTGAAGAGTAAACAATAAGCTGTAATACAAACTTTGCTATTAGTTGAGATGCTACCATAGACATTCAACCCTCATTGCTGATGGGCTACTCAGCTGCCCTCACAGGCCCACTCTCTTATTGGCTCCAATGCTATTCAAGAGGCAAGCTACCACATCGTTGATTGGCTAAGGCCCACCCACGTGTGCCAATCATAATAATAAAAATAACAATCTTTATTTCTACAAGTACATGGCTCTGGTGGCCTGGTGGTTAACGCTCTCGCTTCACACGGTGAGGGCCTGGGTTCGATTCCCAGCCAGAGTAGAAACATTGGACGTGTTTCTTTCCACCTGTTGTCTATGTTCCCCATCAGTAAAATGGGTACCTGGGTGTTAGTCGACTGGTGTGGGTCGCATCCTGGGACACTGACCTAAGGAGGCCTGGTCAAAGACCGGGCCGCGGGGGCGTTGACCCCCGGAACTCTCTCCAGAAACTCCAGATACAACTATTTCAGACATAGCTGACATCACTGGCATACTGTATACAGTATCATTTCGGGCAACTTAGGTTAATCTTGTTTCCCAGAATGCGACCCACAACAGTCGTACAATCATACTCATATTGTACGTATCTCAAATTTTTCATTACCCTCTATGAGGGTAAATCGTAACTCGAAATTATCATAACTTAAGGAACCACAGTACTGAAGTGCACTTCTTTCTAAAGATTCCAAAAATTTTTCAAAAATGTCATGACTGTACATTAATACAATAATCCTCATTATAAACAAAGATAAAATTTTTAACATACCTTTCTCTTTCCATCTTCAGAAATTAAGATCCGAAATCTATCTCTTTCACTTGCATCACTTAATGATAGATTTATTCTTGTTATAATGATATCCAGAGAACATTTTGCACGAACAACACCTTTTGGACTATCCACAGTGAAACATGATGGGTTATTGCACAGTACTGAAAATAATTGTAACACAATGACAAAAGATAACACTAGTTCAACTAACTATTGAGTCAATAATTGGAGCCTGCAATGGTTATTGCAATTACACCAAGAGATAATCCTTAATAAACTAAGCAAAACAATTCATCAACATCAAATGTGTAAAATTTTTTTAACATACTGGCAGTCTCACACAGAGGTATTGTGACCCAACAAATAATAATAATAATAATAATAATGATAAAAACATTTATTTCTTTATTGTATTTTTTATTAACACATTGGCCATTTCACACCAAGGCAGGGTGCCATGAAAAAGAAAAACTTTCATAATCATTCACTCCATCACTGTCTAGCCAGAGGCATGTTTACACTACAGTTATAAAACTGCAACATTAACATCCCTCCTTCAAAGTGCAGGCACTGTACTTCCATCTCCAGGAATCAAGTCTGGCCTGCCGGTTTCCCTGAATCTTGTCATAAATGTTACCTTGCTTACACCCCAACAGCACGTCAAGTCCTAAAAACCATTTGTCTCCATTCATTCCTATCTAACACACTCACGCACGCTTGCTGGATGTCCAAACCCCTTGCACACGAAACCTATACTTCCTCCCTCCAACCTTTCCTAAGCCGACCCCTACCCCGCCTTCCCTCCACTACAGATTTATACACTCTCGAAGTCATTCTGTTTCGTTACATCCTCTCTTCATGTCCAAACCATCTCAATAACCCCTCCTCAGCCCTCTGGATTTAAGTTTTGGTAATCCCACACCTCTTGAACTCCAAATTACTGATTCTCTGCATTATATTCAGCATGAAGTTATAAATAAAGACAATAGAACAGGTCAGCAAACAAAGGGGGACAGCAGAGGGCAGCAAGGGACTAGCTCCCTTAAGGTTTACTATACTAATAGCAGGAGTGTTAGAAATAAGATAGATGAGCTAAGATTAATTGCAAGTGCAGGAAACATAGATATTATTGCTATAACAGAGACCTGGCTCAATCTGAAAGATAGAGAGATGCCCTCTGAATGTCACATACAAGGCTATAAATTATTCCACACTGACAGGGTCAACAGGAAAGGTGGTGGAGTAGCGATGTATGTCAGAGACAATTTAAATTGTTGTGTTAGACAAGATATTAAATTAGAAGCGTCAGCCACTGAATCTGTTTGGTTACAGCTTCTCGAGGGCCGAGAAAAACTAATTTTGGGTGTGATTTACAGGGCCCAAATCTTGATAGGGAGTGCAGTAAACTTCTATGGGACGAAATTCGTAAGGCATCTACATACGAAAATGTTGTGCTAATGGGAGATTTCAACTATAGACAGATTGACTGGAGCAATTTGACAGGAAATTTAGAGTCGGGTGACTTTCTTGATAACGATCCAGGATTGTTTTTTTAAAACAGTTTGTGACAGAGCCAACTAGGGGAAATAACCTCCTTGACTTGGTTCTTGCCAGTAGGGAAACACTAATTAATAATCTTGAGGTTAATGATGAGCTTGGGGAGAGTGATCACAAATCACTCAGTTTTAACATATCATGGAATTCCCCTAATAATGGCAATCAAGTCTAGTCCCTGACTTTCGCTTGGCTGATTTCATAGGACTGAAAAATTACTTAGGTGGGCTGAACTGGAATGACCTGACTAGGGTCAGGTAGGTGGTGATGGTTGCCGATATGATGCTTTCCAGGGCATAGTTCTAGCTGCTCAGTCAAATTATGTTCCAAATAGGGAAATCAGATCAAACAAAAATGATCCTAAATGGATGAACAATAGATTAAAATATCTGATTGGTCAAAAGAGAGGCATATATAGGCAAATCAAAAGAGGAGAGGGGCAATTAAGAAAATCGATATATTCAGTTAAAGAGAGAAATAAAAAAGGGAATTAGAAAAGCAAATAGAGATTATGAGGTTAAAGTTGCAAGAGAATCGAAGACTAACCCAAAAGGATTCTTTCAGGTATACAGAAGTAAGATCAGGGACAAGATAGGCCACTCAAAAGTTCCTCGGGTCAGCTCACTGACAGTGATAAGGAAATGTGTAGAATTTTTAAACACATACTTCCTCTCAGTTTTTTACACAGGAGGATACCAGCGATATTCCAGTAATGATAAATTATGTAGAACAGGACGATAATAAACTGTGCACTATTAGGGTCACAAGTGACATGGTCCTTAGGCAAATAGATAAATTAAAACCTAACAAATCCCCAGGCCCTGATGAACTGTATGCAAGGGTTCTAAAGGAATGTAAAGAGGAGCTTAGCGCACCTTTGGCTAATCTTTTCAACATATCACTACAAACTGGCATGGTGCCAGATAAGTGGAAAATGGCAAATGTGATACCTATTTTCAAAACAGGTGACAGGTCCTTAGCTTCGAACTATAAAACCAATAAGCCTAACCTCCCATAGTGGAAAATTTATGGAATCAATAATTGCCGAGGCAGTTTGTAGCCACCTTGAAAAGCATAAATTAATCAACGAATCTCAGCATGGTTTTACAAAGGGGCGTTCCTGCCTTACGAATTTATTAACTTTTTTCACTAAGGTATTTGAGGAGGTAGATCATGGTAATGAATATGATATTGTGAAATATGGACTTCAGTAAGGCTTTTGACAGGGTCCCACATCAGAGACTATTGAGGAAAATTAAAGCACATGGAATAGGAGGAGAATTTTTTCCTGGATAGAGGCATGGTTGACAAATAGGCAGCAGAGAGTTTGCATAAATGGGGAGAAATCAGAGTGGGGAAGCGTCACGAGCGGTGTTCCACAGGGGTCAGTGTTGGGCCCCCTGCTGTTCACAATCTACATAAACGACATAGATGAGGCATAAAGAGCGACATCGGCAAGTTTGCCGATGACACCAAAATAGGCCGTCGAATTCATTCTGACGAGGACATTCGAGCACTCCAGGAAGATTTGAATAGACTGATGCAGTGGTCGGAGAAGTGGCAGATGCAGTTTAATATAGACAAATGCAAAGTTCTAAACGTTGGACAGGACAATAACCATGCCACATATAAACTAAATAATGTAGATCTTAATATTACGGATTGCGAAAAAGATTTAGGAGTTCTGGTTAGCAGTAATCTGAAACCAAGACAACAGTGCATAAGTGTTCGCAATAAAGCTAATAGAAAACCTTGGCTTCATATCAAGAAGCATAAATAATAGGAGTCCTCAGGTTGTTCTTCAACTCTATACATCCTTGGTTAGGCCTCATTTAGATTATGCTGCACAGTTTTGGTCACCATATTACAGAATGGATATAAATTCTCTGGAAAATGTACAAAGGAGGATGACAAAGATGATCCCATGTATCAGAAACCTTCCCTATGAGGATAGACTAAGGGCCCTGAAACTGCACTCTCTAGAAAGACTTTGAATTAGGGGGGATATGATTGAGGTGTATAAGTGGAAGACAGGAATAAATAAAGGGGATGTAAATAGTGTTGCTGAAAATATCTAGCCTAGACAGGACTCGCAGCAATGGTTTTAAGTTGGAAAAAATTCAGATTCAGGAGGGATATAGGAAAATACTGGTTTGGTAATAGAGTTGTGGATGAGTGGAACAAACTCCCAAGTACCGTTATAGAGGCCAGAACGTTGTGTAGCTTTAAAAATAGGTTGGATAAATACATGAGTAGATGTGGGTGGGTGTGAGTTAGACCTGATAGCTTGTGCTAACAGGTCGGTTGCCGTGTTCCTCCCTTAAGTCAATGTGACCTGACCTGACTAGGTTGGGTGCATTGGCTTAAGCCGGTAGGAGACTTGGACCTGCCTCGCATGGGCCAGTAGGCCTTCTGCAGTGTTCCTTCGTTCTTATGTTCTTATGTTCTCCTTGTTGCAACATTCACAACCCATGCCTCACACACATACAAGGGAATTAGTAAAACTATACTCTCATAAATTCCCCTCTTTGCTTTCATGGACAAAGTTCTTTGTCTCCACAGACTCCTCAGTGCACAACTCACCTTTTTCCCATTGTCAATTCCATGATTCACCTCATCCTTCACAGAGCCATCTGCTGACATGTCCACTCCCAAATATCTGAACACATTCACCTCCTCCATACTCTCTCCCTCCAATCAGATATCCAGTCTCCCATTACCTAATTTTTGTTTTATATCCTCATCACCTTACTCTTTCCTATATTCACTTTTAATTTCCTTCTTTTACATACCCTACCAAACTCATCTACCAACCTCTGCAACTTCTCTTCAGAATCTCCCAAAAGCACAGTGTCATCAGCAAAGAGCAACTGTGAAAACTCCCACTTTGGGTTAGATTCTTTATCTTTTAACCCCACACCTCTTGCCAACACCCAAGCATTCACTTCTCTAACAATTCCATTTATAAATATATTGAACAACCATGGTGACATCACACATCCCTGTCTAAGGCCTAGTTTCACTGGGAAATAATCTCCCTCTCGCCTACATACTCTAACCTGAGCCTCACTATCCTCATAAAAACTTTTCACCGCTTTCAATAACCCACCTCCTATTCCATACATTTGCAACATCTGCCACATTCCCCCCTACCCACCCTATCATATGCCTTTTCCAAATCCATAAATGCCACAAATACCTCTTTACCCTTATCTAAATACTGTTCACCTATATGTTTCACTGCAAACACTTGGTCTAAACACCCCCTACCCTTTCTAAAGCCTCCTTGAAAATATAAACACATATGCAGTATAATGTTGTCAATAAAAGATCACATTATACTGCATGTGTGTTTATATTTCCATTGTGTCAGTATTTTATACCATTCATTTCTAAAGCCTCCTTGTTCATCTGGTATCCTGCTCTCCATCTTACTCTTAATTCTTTCAATAATAATTCTACCATACACTTTACCAGGTATACTCAACAGACTTCTTGTTTCAACAAACTGGCCATATCCCATCAGGGCAGGGTGGCCCCGCCCCCCCAAAAAAATTAAAGTTTCTCTTCTTAAATTTAATAATTTATACAAGAGAAGGGGTTACTA